AAAAAAAAAAAAAGAAAAGAAAATTTTCTTTCCTTTCCTTTCCTTTTTAGTTTAATAAAATTAAGTTGGAGTAGAAACCCTAGACAAAACGGATTGAAATGCCGGATGGGGTGGCCTCTCGGCCATCTTCCGACTAAGGAATGGGGCTAAGGATAAATTCACCGCTGCAGGATATCGGAGTGGCGCGTCGTGAACCGAAACACCATTCCGCTAGGTTTCCAAAAGGGTAAAATAAGAGGCTAGAGAGAGAGAGAGAAATGGAAGCTTTAGATTTTAATATAATCCTCTCAGAGGCATTCGAAAGTATGGAGTTGTCTCTGTTTTCTGAATCCTCTCTCTTTCTCTCGCTGTGTTTTGGTTCTTCTTTCTTCTTTGATTCTCTCTCCCTCCCTTCTCTTTTCGTTTTAGTTCATTTTATATTTTATTTAGTTTTCTTTATTTTGAAATTAATTTTTTTATTAAGTAGGGTATCTTTCTATGTTTTGTCGTTTTGAATCATTTTAATGAAATTACTGTAATCTTAAATTGTAGCGGCAGAGATAGAAAGGAGAGAAAATAATGATTAATTAGAATAATTTTTTGGTAATCTGACACCACTTGATTCCGGCCTGGACCGTATCTGGCAGCTTTTTTTCTTTCTTTGTTTTTATTTTTGACAATAACTACGTAGTGTTTTTTTAATTTTTTGTTTGACGGATTTGCCCTTTCTAGAAATTCTTTCTTTCTTTTCCTCTTTCAATTGTTATTGAAGTGGATTTAATCGCAAATTTTGCCTGATTTAAAACCTAATTGATATCCCATGGAGTCATTTAAATCTTAATAAAGAAATTTTTTTCTCTTCATTATATTTAAAATATATATAAATTATTTAAAATTTTTAAATAAATTTTTATTTTATTATTACATTCAATTAAATCATTTATATTTATATTTTGATTTAAATACATTCTTATTATTAATTGTTAATTAACTATTATTAAGTATAAATGTCACTTATTATTTTATGTCAAGTAATCATGATATATCATAGTGGGTGATGATATAACATGTTAATGTAACACGATAATATAAATATATATTATTTTTTACTTTTTATGTTAATTTCATGATAAAATTTAGTAAATATAAAATAATAAGTAATATTTTTATTAATAAAAATTAAGCAATATTAATTAAATATGTTTATTTAGTATAAAATAAAAATATAAAAATTTAATTGAAATAATAAAAGAATAAAATTTTATTTTAAATTTTTTAAATAATTTAATGATTTTTTCAAATATTATTACTTATTGATAGGTATAAAAAGATTAAATGAAATCTTAAATTGGAATAATCGAAAACAAGGAAAAAAGAAAGTAGACGCCATAGACAACAGCTAAGGACAGAGAGAGAGCTCCAAGAACCAGACCGTTAGATGGGTAACGGAGGGATGATGGTCGGGACCAGAAATCTAAAATCGCACCCCCACTTTCTCCCACACGAGTCACGTCACCATCACTGGTTGGGGTCCCACAATCCTTCCACTCTGTCCCCTCTGGTGCTTGACACGTGGCTATTCAAGGTACACCCTGTCTCTCGTTGTTTCAAGGATATGCCCTTGTTTTGGGTTAGTGGTGGTGGGGCCCTTAATTGAGTGCGTCTTGTAACGGTCGGATTTTTCAAAATAGTATGCATATTTTGTTCCATTGCCCCCCAATTTGTAATTCCCCCGTTACGATATAAATTTCCTTTTTTTTTCTTTAATTCAGGAATAATAAATACTACACAAAATTCTTGTTCATTGGTATTGAGACTTGAGAGAGTTAGATTAATGAAACATTCTATTTATCTTTTTAAATCTGATAATTTTAGTTAAATTGTTATTTTAATGAATAATTTTTTTAATTAATATATTATTTTTATCAAATCCTAAAAAGGATTAAAAAATTAATAGAATGCGTATACATTAAAATTTTAAAATTGATTTATAATGTTGATGTTCAATTTTTAATATCAAAAAGTAAAAAAATAAATATTCAAAAATAAAAAAATAATTTTGAGATAATCAAGAAAAGTAAAAGATAAAAAGAATAAGAGGAAAAAGTAAACGCATGGGCCGATTTATTTACCGCGAACGGAGATGTGGCAGCATCAGCACGCGCCGTTTTAAACCTTTTCTCATCTTTTGGTAATTTGTGCCATATGAAGGCTGGCGGAGTGCCGGATTGGGTTCGGCCTAATTGCCTAGTTTGTTCAAGCGCCTACCACCTAGTTGCCCATTCTAACCAGCAAGTCATTCAACCCCATGTGCATTATTTGTCTTTTAATGTATAAAATTTTCATCAAATTTAAAAACAAACCACATATTAACAGTACAGATTTGATTTATAACTATTACTTTAATAAGTGTTTACAAATACTCTTTTAACATTTGTAAGAAACAAATGGTGTAATGTTTAAAGAAGTTACTAATCTATTCAAAAAATTTTAAATAAATTTTTATTTTTTATTATATTTAATTAAATATTTATATTTTTTATTTTAAATCAAATAAATTTTTATAATTAATTATTATTAATTAAAACATTAAATATTATTTTTTATATCATATGATATTGATGTGATATGAAAACATCATATTATTATCATCTATTATAACATATCAATATATTATATTAACATCACATGATATAACATGATAAATAATATTTTGATTAATAATAATTAATCAAATATTAATTTTAAAAATTTATTTTACTTAAAATAAGAGTATGTGTGTTTAATTAAATATAATAAAAAAATAAATATTTATTTAAATTTTTTTAGTAACTTTAAAACAAAATTAAATATTATGTTAAAAAATTATGTTAAGATGAATTTAAAACCGAAACAGGATGAAGAAAATCTGAGTGACCTTTTTGTGTTTTTTGTCCTGGGGTTAGACTTTTATGGTTTGAGAGAAATCAAAGTTTATATTTCGTTCTAAGATCACATGACAGCATGCAGAAGGAAATTTCTTTCCTAGAAGAATCTTTCTTAATTTGTTTTTTTTTTTTTTAACTTTGTCCTATAAGCAAAATTAAACTAAAGAAATGAATGAAGCAATTGAGTGCAGTGTATGATCATCTGACTATTAAGACTAATGGTGTTTGACTTTTAAAGATGTTGTAGCAGGCCCTGTCGGTCAAGGCTCGACTCTTTAAGCTCCATATGCACCGTATGTAACCTAATTAATTACTCTTATCATTTGTTTTATCGATTGTTGCTGCTTAATCCCAACAAATATGCAACGTCAACCTTGTCCAATTCTCTAAAATAAGCTTGAAATTAATTAGCATAATCCTCCTTGAATCTTTCCTAAAGGATTGCTGCAAGTTTACCAGGATTTTAAGATGAAAAAGGCATTAAAATTTTGGGTGTCCTATCTTAGATTCCTTTCTTCTCCAATTGAAAAAGGGCTTTTGCAAAGGGCAGCAGGGAATTTTCACTTGCTGGAAATCCAATTTCCATACAGGAAAAAGGGCGGGGTGTGCGAAATATATTTTATGATATCTCATTAGAAGAAGTCAAAAGAAATGAGACGTTTGTTGCCCAGCGAGTGTGAGACAAAAGGAAGACTGAAAACATGAAAATGGGACGTAAAGCCAACTGCAAAAGCAATGACATATGAGTCATCCCCACCCCCACACCCACACCCCCCTTCGCTCTCACACTCAGCTGCTCCATCTATCCTATCCATGCCATGCTGATGTCTCTATGGGCCCTTTGTCTTGCTGCCAATCAGATAAAGTTCCTTACAAAACAGATTCCTTTCAGCTGAAAAATAAATATGGAAGAATCCCCTTGCCAATCTTTACTCTAAAAAGAGATCAGGGGAATTTTCTTTTTTCTGTTTTTTGGATAATGGGTTCAATTTTCAGCTCGCAGCTTCTTTCACTGAAATAGAAAGAGAGTAAACAGAGGTCAACTAATTCACAGAGAAAATAAAAGGCATTTCTAGTGTGCACGGCATGCGGAAGATGTTCATAAGTAGAATTGTCTATCTTAAACAAGTAAGAGGTAAATGAACAGACCAGTGAGTGAGACATTTGTAGTGGAATTTCAGTGCTGTAACACTGCTGTACCTTTGCTTTTATGATTATTATTAATTTGATCATTGATTATGAGTCCCTTCCAAAGCAAAGTTGTGGAGAGGTTCAGTGCTTGGTCTGTAATATTTGTTACATCTTTGATTTGAAGTAAGTTTACTTTTTGTATTTATTTTTTAATTAATTGTTGGATTGTGTTGACAGCTTAATCATGGATTATTGGATTCCTGAGAAGGTTTCAATTATGAATTTGACTGTGAGGCAGGCAGGGCCACTTGATTTGTCGAAAATACATGCAGCATTATTTGAGAATTATGCCGCAAATGTTGCTTACATCAAAGACTTATCTACATTGTGACAGGTTTTAGGAATCATCTTTCGCTTTCTTTTTTCTTTCCAAATGCTTTTCTATTTTTTGTTTTTGCGCAAAATGTTAGCTCATTTTACACAATTTCTCTATGACGCATAAGAACCGTGGTGCTGTGAAGATAGGCAAGTTGAAGTTGACTTGAATGAGTCGGAATTACATAATATATATATAATTGATATAATATTTAAAAAGGTTTTTTTAATTTTTTTAAAAATATTAATAAATTTTTATAATTAAAAATTAATTAATTATCATTAATTAAAATATCAGTCATCATTTTAAAATTGACATGACGCCAACGTAATATTAGTAAAAAATAAAAATATTATATAATCATATTTACATACCATGTAATCATTCATTATGATATATTAGTATGTCGATCAAGACAAGGAATATTTTAACTTATAACAATAGTCAACTATTCTTTTTAAAAGAAAAATAATTAGTTACATAATGAGTTATTTAACTCAAAATAAAAGTATAAAGTTTTAATTAAACATAATAAAAAAATAAAAAAATATTTAAATAATTTAGAAATTTT